CCGATCACTCACAATGTCACCCGGCAAACCATAGAGACTGAATAACCGGTCTACAAACAACTGAGCAAGTTCAGAAGCTTTTATCGTTGTCTTCACAGGGAAAAAGTGAGCCATCTTCGTCAAACGATCCACAACAACCCAAATAGCATCATTTCCTTGAAAGGTTTTGGGCAAACCAGTGATAAAGTCCATCGAGATGTTATCCCACTTATTCTCGGGTACACGTAAAGGATGATAGAGGCCAACGAGCTTCTGATGATCAACTTTGACCGCCTGGCAGGTCAAGCAACCACGTACATACTTCTCAACATTTGACTTCATCCCAGGCCAAAAGAAATGCCTTTTCACCAACATATACGTTTTCAATACCCCTGGATGCCCAACACTTGGCACATCATGACACTCAACCAAAATCCGTTTGATGAGTTTGTCAACACGAGGAACCACTACACGTCCCTTCTTCACCAGGATTCCATCTTGTATTTCGAATGACGCAAACTTGTCACCCTTCAAATCTGTAAAGGCGTCCCTCAACAAAACCTTCGCGCAAATATCAGTGATAAAGGAGTCGAAGCCAACAAACTCCTTAAGCTCATCCAAGAGATCACTGGATAGCTTCACGAATGAGATAGAATTTACCATCCTGGATAATGCATCAACCATCTTATTGTCACCTCCATGCTTGTACCGGATCTTAACAGACATTTCCTGCAGGAACTCTTGCCAACGAGCAAGGCGGCCTCGAAGATCCTTTTGTTGACTGAAATATTGGAGAGATTGATGGCCTGAATCCACATGGAAGTCCGATCCATAAAGATAATGTCGCCATTCCTTCACAGCAGCAATCACAGCATACAACTCCTTGTCTTGAGTAGGCCAATTCCATTGTGTGGCATCAAACTTATGGCTCATGTACGCAAGAGGATGCCCAACTTGAAGCAAAAAGGCTCCAATAGCAATGTCACTTACATCTGTCTCGACCACAAGAGGCTTTTCAGGATCAAAAATCTTCAACACCGGAGCAGAGATACAACATTGCTTCAAACGTTGAAATGCCACTTCACACTTCTCATCCCAACCATGAATAGTAGCATGTTTTGACGTATTCTGGAGAAGATCAGTTAAAGGGGCTGCTATCCCTGAAAAGTCCTTCACAAATCGTCGAAAAACTCTAGCCATACCAAGGAAACTACGGAGATCATGCACTGTGGAAGGTATAGGCCAATCAACCATGGCCTGAATCTTTGCGGGATCAACTCTCACTCCATGTACCGAAATCAAATGCCTGAGATATCCAATCTCCTCTAAAAAAAACTCGCACTTGGATAATTTTGAGTAGAGCTTGTTGTCCCTCAAAAGTTGTAAAACACTTCGCACATGCATCTTATGTTCCTCCACGGAAGAGCTGAAATGCAGTTTTCGGAACATCCTCTGGCTTGACACAAATCTGATGATATCCTTGCCTCAAATCAATCTTCGAAAAATATCGAGCTCCACGAAGATGATCGAGCAAATCATCGATATGAGGGATTAGGAACATATTCTTCACTGTCCTATCATTTAATCCCTTGTAATTCACGCAAAGACGCCATGTACCATCTTTTTTTTTTTACCATCACCACTGGAGCAGCCCAAGGAGACTTGCTAATCCGTAACCACCCTTTCCGAAGGTATTCAGCAAGCTGCCTATTAATCTCTTCATCTTCAGCAGGACTAGTACAAGTCAGTTGTCGCTGAAAGGGAGTAGCTCCAAGAACCAAATCAATCTTATGCTGAATTCCACGTTCTAGAGGCAAACCATTAGGTAACTCATCTGGAAATACGTCACAGAACTCCTCCTGAATGGAATCCACCTGTGCCTCATGCCCACGAACGTACTCCAAATCAGACATGATCATATTAGAAAGAAATGGGTACACCACAAAAGAATTACCTATCTCATGCATGCATGTCACCAACTCCAAAGCGTTAATCAATGGAGTATCACTATTGTCTGTCCCGACAATCTCGTTTATAGTGCCACCAACTTCAATACGCAGAACATTACGCTCCCAATCGATCCCTGGCTTCTTGTCATAAAACCATTCCTTCCCAAGAATAACGTCTGTGCGACCAAGATCCATAACCTGAAACGAAGGATGGTCAAGAATCCCTTGAACTGTCAAAGGAACACTTGGAGCCCATTCACCGTAAACACAAGTGCTATGTCCATCTGCCATAACCACCTCGTAGATTACTGAACTCTTTTCCACAGGCAAACCAAGTTTCTTCACCACCTTAGAGCTCAAAAAGTTGTGTGTAGCACTTGGATCGAAAAGAATACTAACAGCATGTCCTTGAATGTCCCCCTTGGCCTTCACAAGTTGATTGCGCATAGAACCATTAATCTCTACAGAGTTGATACGAACTCAAGACTTAGATTCTTGAATTTTTGCCACAGGGTGTGGAAGAGCCACCACAGTAGATGCCTGAGCTGTATCCACGATGGATTCCACCACATTCACCTTAGCATTCTTTGATCCCTTCACAAGAGGACAATCTTTGCCATGATGTCCAGCCTTCTGACAACTTGTCCTTCTCTCATTGGTCTAACCAATGTCTTTTTGCCTCATTGCCATCTCCACTCTTTGAGCTACGACGAAGCAACGGCCATTTCTTCCTTGAAAATGAAGTATTGGTGGGTTGGTCATCACGTTGACCACTCCGGAGACCATCCTTTTGACCAGAGTTGACCAAGTTGACCAACGGTTTGGACAAAAAGATTTGAGCCTTAGTGATAGCATCAGTCAATGTTGCTGGAAAATCCTTCTTGACCTTCTGCTGCACATCCACCGAACTCAATCATTTGATAAAACATTGCACCTTTAGCAGCTTATTATAGGTGCCCGTGAGACTAAGGCAAAGATCACGGAACTTGCGGGCATACACATCCAAAGACAAAGTCCCCTGCCGATCTCTAACAACTGATTCACGAGATCAACCTCTTCAAACTTTTTGACAAACGAAGTGCGGAAAACCTTTGTCAAATCAGTCCAAGAAGTCGGCTTCAAATTAGCTTTGATGTAGTTCTTCCACCACGAAAAAGCATGGCCTGTAAGCTTCGTCACAAAGAAATCTATCTTCACCTTATCCTCACAAGGATTGTGAGACCAACAACTTTCCCACAATTCCAATCAAAGATCAACCTCTTGACTATCACAAACATCCGGTGATGATTTCCATTCCATAATACCATAATCCTTGGCATGTTTGATGTACCAATGGTAATCACGAACATGAGATCGATTCAATCCTTGAGGGTTTATGTGAAGCAAAAAATCCTTAATGAGATTGACAGAATCCTTAACCTCCTTTATGTCGCTCTAAACCGCATCCTTGCCGTAGAATGACATCATCAAAAGTTTCGTTCGCATCGTCATGGCTATCATCACTAATGCCATACTCATCAAGATCAATATCTTGCTCTCCTGCCATCCCCAAAAGAATGTGCTGCTCCAATACCAATGAAACGAACAAGAGAGCAAACCTTAGGCCAGCCTCCCATTACATGGAATATTCTCGGAATATTCCTGTGGTTCGTGTCACTACTGCTCACAATGTGGGAGTGCACCGGCCCACGCTCCCAAAAGGCTCACGAAAGTGCCTGCCTCGGGCTTGACCCCTTCTTCGCTCATCTTGTTGTAGAGCCGGAGGCTGGCATTGGGACTGTGCAGCAGCAGCGATCGTCGCGTTCCAGCAGACCACGTCCTTGTGCTGGATATCGTCGAAGATCTTTCTCGCCATCTTCAGGCTTCCACACTTGCCATACATGTTGAGCAGTGCAGTCTGGATGACCGCGCTCGGATTGTTCGCCTTGGCATGGATGGTGTCGTGGATTCTCTTGCCCGACTCAAGATCACAGGCGGACAGAAGCGTGTACAAGGTTCTGTCGTTTGGATGAGCCGCTTGTTCCACACTCAATTCTCCTGTAGAGATCCAGGGCCACTCCTCATTGCATTTCAGGTTTCCATCGCCGCTACTGTGCTTGTCCAGTCCGCTCTCCCAGCTCCCACATTGTGATGTCCACGATCGGAGCTGACTCAAACTCGCCTAGTTCCTCCGCGACGGCATGCAAATTCACAGCTCGCTCGCAGGCCTCGGAAGAACAAGCGCCAAGAACAGTTGCGAGTGTGGCCTCGTTGGGCTGGACACGTCCAAATTCATCTTCCTGTAGAGGGTCAGGGCATAGCCACCGATTATCCGTGGTTGATTCCATCAAGTTCCCGACACTGCAACAACCAACAAGCCGGACAATGCTGCTGCTCTTCTCCCTCCGCTCCGCCCAGATTCCTGCCGCATTCTCACGTACGCTTGCAATGCCTCCCCTTGGAGGCGCACTTCTTTCATGCGCTACCGCTACCTGATCCACATCTTTCCATGCATTTCTAGCCCTAAGCCCCGATGGATGAGAGCTCCTTCGCCGGCCTCATCAGGCGGTGTGGCGATTCCAAGGATCTGTCCCGAGCGCACGAGCTCTACTCGAGGCTCCAGCGCAGTCGCGAGCGCCACAGCACGTACCTGGCCAATCTGTGCGCTCACATGTACGGCAAATGCGGCAGCGCCAAGGACGCGCGCCGCGTCTTCGATGAAATCCAAGAACCAAACGTCTTCTCCTGGACAATTCTCATGCAAGCGTATGCCGCAAATGGGCATCTGGAGCAGGTCGAGAATGCGTTCCACACAATGCCGGAGAGAGACACCGCCGCCTGGAATACGATGATCAAGGCATATGCCAGCAGAGGCCGCATTCGAGAAGCTAGAAGAATCTTCGATTTGATGCCCCACAAGAATGTCATCTCCTGGACTGCCATGCTTACTGCGCATGCCAACAGAGGGGAAATGGAGCAGGCGCAAGAGCTCTTTGACAAGATGCCCCACAAGAACACGGTGACGTGGAACGCACTCCTGACCGGGTATGCCACATCAGCCACTTGGACGAATGTGTGTGGATCTTTGCCGCAATGCCCGGCCGTGACGCCGTGTCCTGGAACGCGATGATCCTCGCCTTTGCACAGCAAGGCCAGCTGGATCGCGCAAAGTCCACCTTTGATGCCATGCCCAATCCGGATCTCATCTCCTACAGCATCCTCCTGGCAGCATTCGCGCAAAAGGCCCAGCTCCGGCGAGCGATCGAGCTGTTCAAGCTCATCCATCGCCCCAATCTCGTCTGCTGGACGTCGATGGTCACTGCCTACGCCCGCGCCGGAGATTTGCTCTCCGCAAGGAACATCTTCGACAAGATCCCTCAAAAAGATCCCGTGTGCTGGAATGTGATGATCAGCGCCTATGTGGAGGCTGGGAGCCTCCAAGCCGCGAGAGCGCTCCTCCACGAAATGCCCAACCCTAACGCAGTGACGTGGACGGCGATGCTCGTGGCGTACGGCAACGCCGGCCACCTCGAAGAGGCGCGAAACGCATTTGAAATGGTGACGGACGGGAACACGGTCACGTGGAACGCCATGATTAGTGCCTATGCCCGACACGGCCATCTGGACGAGGCCAAGATCTTGTTTGCGACATTGCCGGAGAGCGACAAGAATGTCGTGTCGTGGAACGCAATGCTCCAGGCTTATGCCGACAACCGCGAGCTTGATGGGGCGGAGCACATCTTCTGGGCGATGCCCGAGCATAACGTTGTGTCGTGGACGGCTATGGTGACTGCCAATGCCAAGTGTGGACGACTCGAGCAGGCCGACAGCGTCTTCGGTGCCATGCCGGAGAGAAGCCTCGTGTCGTGGAATGCGATGATGGAGAGCTACTCGGATTCCGCTGGCCAAGGCCCGAAAACCCTAGAGCTGTTTCGAGAGTTGGAGCTCGTCGGTCTGGAACCTAATGACTTGAGCTTCATGAGCCTTCTCAATGCTTGCAGCCATGGCGGATTGAGCGAGCAAGGCTTGAGCTACTTTGGCCGCTTGAAGGCTTCTTCGGCAGTGGAGGGCAGCAGCCTATCTCCGTCCCGGGAACACTACTGCTGCATAGTGGACATGCTGGGAAGATCCGGTCGTTTGAGAGATGCGGAAGAGCTCGTTGAGTCGATGCCATTCGAGCCGGGAGTCGTCGAGTGGGGATCACTTTTGGGAGCTTGCAAGACATACAGTGATGTTGATCGAGCTTCCAGGGCGGTCGAGAACATCGTTGAGCTCAATCCAGGAAATAGAGCTGCCAATTCGGCTCTGACACTGCTGTCTAACGTGTATGCTGCTGCTGGCAGGATCAGAGAGGCGGAGGCTGTTCAGACAAGACTGAGATCTAGAACACGAGTTAGATCAGATGGAAACAGTTGACAAAATAAAACTAACCTTTTGGTCATGCATTCCTGCTTCTTTTAGTTTGCCTCGCCTGACCGCCAGTTGTGGCCACCCTCTTGCTGGAAGACGCCTCCTTCGTGTCCGGACCATCTGTATTCTTTGTGGTATACTCGTTTAAGGTGGTCATTATCTGCTCTCCATACTTGGATGACTTGGTTTTGCCAATGATTTCGTCCAGCTTACCAATGTAATAACAAAAGCGTCAAAGTAGAATCAGCAAAATAGTTACCTCCGTGATTGATGTGGGGACGTGTGAGGACAGTCTCTTGATGTGCTGAGAAGAAAGCACAGCATAAGGAAAAATGCCACCGTCGGCAGCAGCCAGTGTCTGGCGAAGTGTATCAAGCATACGAGCCATGCCAGACTGCATGGCGCAATCGTCCAGAGTTGTCTTCACAGGTCCTCTCTTCTCACATTGTTCAAGGATGACCTTTCTTTTGCCTGCGGTCAAACAAATACCATGTTTCATGTCAAAAATATACATGAAGGAAGTTCACCTTGCAATATAAGTCTTGCTGCCGATCCTGCCTTTACGTAGGCATTTGTAGCATAAGCAGTATGTTGAAAGTCCTCTCGCTGTATATGAAAAGTTTGGGTCACACAGTTTACACAGAATAAAACTTGCCAATGTGCCATCTAGAATTAGTTGAAGAATGATCTGCTCTGCATCGTCCTTACTCATCTCCTTGTCACCTGTTTGGGATTGCAATATATGCCCGTAAACGCCGCTTATATGGTTACCTGCCTGTCGTAGCTGACTTCTCCACAGATCCACAAGCTGCAGCAACGTAGTTTTCTTGTCACTCTCCGCAACGTCCATTACAGACTGCACGAGGGACTTGCCGTACTCTGCAAAACATGCACGCGCCTTAATGCAACAGAAAATGTAAGTTCAAGGGCAAATGTACCCGTAACATCCTTCTCAACAACGTCGTTCTCAAATGCGCAAGTATCGCACATTCCTGAGTAGACACCTCTGGTATCAGCCTAAAAGCTTAATCAACAATCAAACCGTACCGTTGCACTCTTGTACTTGTTCGGCAAAATATTGAAAAAACGCCGCTCGCCGACACCTTTGTTTCGACTGCATCAAGGTCATCATTGTAGAATTTACAATCTCTTAAAAGAAACAGAAGAGCACCTGACAATAGCGAGCCATTGCGTAAAGATTCTGCAAGCCCGTATTTTCGGAGAACACCATGCAGCTCTACATAATTTGTACTGTCAGTTCCACAAGAGATGAATATAAAGAGCTTTTACTTGTCGAGGGACATCAGCTGGCCTGAAAAATAATACGCAGCGAGATGGAAGTCCATCACGGCCAGCACGTCCGCTCTCCTACTGGCCAAGCAGTGTTAGCAGTTTACAAGCAGGAAAATGGCGGAAAAACACCTGATAATACGTCTCCAAGGATTTACTCAGGGTATGGTGTATAACAAAACGCACTGCAAACACAAGGTCACATTCAGACCATAGAACAAAAACACCTAACCATCTGGTTTGTTGATTCCCATGCCAAAGGCCACCTGTATCTCATGTTTATTTCTTGAAAAAACTATAAAAGACCGATTTACCGTGCCAACAATCACTTGGAGCTGGTTGCTACTCCACCTGAACGAAAGTATCACGTCTGTTCTACTTATGCTTACGAGAATACCTTCGATGAACATTTGTTCGAAGACCAGAGTCCATGTCCGCATGATAATGAGCAGCAGATATTTGACGCTTCCGCAAAGCGTCAGCGACCTGTTTGATGCAGGGCACACGATTTTTGTTTGAAATCGTAAAGCCAAGTACCTGCTCACACTCTTTACGTGAGAAACAGTAAACGATTCCGGACTCATTGGATGGATAAGTCTCCTTTATAAACAATGCGATGTCTTCAATAACGTCGGCCGCAACCTGCTTTTTATCACGGACCTGGACAAAAGAAATCAAAATAGAAAACGAAAAAAACAAGAGATGCCGATCATCGCGCCTTACGAAACGAAATACCTCGTAGAAAAGGTTCGGACGATTGACGGAGCTTGTAAATCTCTCGCATGGCAGGATTTGCAGCATCTCCTGCAAATCTCTTTGAACACGCCCAGTTGCAGTGGCCTTTGCAAAATGTTCACCGGCCGAGACGATCGATTAAACAGAGAAAAATTCAGATGTAACTCACAGTTAACGCAATCATAGGTACTTTAGGAAACTGCTTCTTCAGAATCCCCAAGTTTTTATAATCCGGCCGAAAGTCGTGTCCCCATTGGCTGCAGCAATGTGCTTCCTGTAAGTAAATCTTACAAAGAGCTGAAAGGAATAGCATAAAAGGAAAACTCACATCGATAGCTACAAGAGAGAGACGTCCGGCCCGGTTACACTTTTCAAGCTTCGACATGAAACGTTTACTTTTCGCAATCTTCTCCGGAGTAACATATAGAATCCGCAAGTTTCCGTCGCCCTTCTCAAGAACTCTATAAATCTCCTTTTCTTCCTCCTTGGAGGTTGTCGAAGTCAGCATGGCGGCAGAGACTCCCAAAGCAGCCAGTCCCATGACCTGCATTACTGTCACTCAACGAAGCTCCAACGAAAGGAAGAAAAAAAAAGTACCTGGTCTTGAATAAGGGACAAAAGGGGACTAACAACAAGAGCAATTCCTGGCCGGAGAAGAGCTGGAAGCTGATAGCACAGACTCTTCCCTCCTCCTGCCGCCATAACAACGACCACATTCTTGTTACTCATCAGCGCGTTTACAATCTGCAAGGAGCAAGCAAGAACAAATCACACACACAAAAAAAAAAAAAAAGGAAACTGGAGAACGAGACCTCTCTCTGGTTCCGCCGGTAAGTGGAAATGCCAAAGACATTGAGTAGCAAGTTGGATGCCTCGTTATCCCACTCAAAGTTTCCAGACCAGTCCTGCTCAATGATTTGGATATCATCCTCCTCGGAAGCTCTGCAGCAGTCGATCAGCTGGCGAAGCTCCGCTTGCTCCTCAAGAAGACGCGCTTGGCGATCGCAGAGAACGGCAATCTGAGCTGTGAAAGCAAATAGATCACGCTCCTGGAGGACATTTTCCGTTTCCTACCTTGAACCTCCTGGAGCTCAGCATCAACGGCCTCCAGGCGCAGCGCAACCTCCTCCTCCGCCATGGTATGGAGCCCTAAAAGGGGGGAAGGGGTTTAGGGTTTAAGGCGATGGCGTCGGCGGCGGTAAAGAAGTTCGTTCCAATCCTGGACAAGGTGCTGCTGGAGAAGATCGATTTCAAGGACATAACATCCGCCGGCCTCTATCTCCCCGCGCGGCTGCGCTTGAGCAAGGTTGTTCTTTCTCCACTTGTGAGACTTGTCCCTCATGATTCTTGTCTGTGGTTCCATAGTGCGTTCCGGCGAGAGTGGTTGCCGTGGGCGGGGGCAAGGTGACGGAGACTGGGAAACGCATCCCAAACACTGTCAAGGTCGGGGACACGGTTCTCCTCCCGGATCATCCGGGCACCACCATTCGCCTCTACGACAGGGAGTAAGAACAAGTTCCATGAAAACATGGATTGATCTTTGAGCCATTGGCAGGTTTGAGCTGTACGAGGACGACGAGATCCTGGCGGTTGTCAAGGAGGACTTGTTCGCGGGCAATAGCTACTAGGTAGAGAAAGAGACTGGGAAGGATGCGTCTCAATCGCCCAGGAGAGATTGTTTTGGCTGGAAAGAAGGAAAGAAAAAAGGGGATACTTTAGCAGGAGCCCCGGAGCATTAACAAGTCGGTCGGTCGGTCGGTCGGGTCAGATCGCAAACAGGAAAGCTAAAGAAAAAACCAAACGGGTCCACAAACAAAGCCACTTTGGTGACACAGACTGCTCGCTCCAACGCAGTGACACCTCACAGTAACTTATCAGCTCGGCATCGATCAACAAGAGATCCCCGAGTTAAGCAAGTAACAGCTCTCTCCTCTTATACCTCCTGTCGGACACCCATTTTAGTTGTGCATTGCAAGGCACGACAAAGGCTCTCTCGAAGTCTTTTGCTTTGTAACAAGGCTGCGAATATCCACGCATCCACAAGCTGCCCGCTTCCAAAAATGAGCTTTTTCTCAGTCGCCCAAGTACGCATACGCGAGAAAGAAAGAGCCTCGCAGATTTATTTCCCATCCATTGCTTGCTTCCTGGGTGGCCTAGCTGCTTTTCTCGTTGGATCGGGATTCCCCAGCGCATTTCCACGCTTTTAGCCCAATTGTGAATGCTCTCCCCTCTCCTGGAGAGCGCGCTGTCCCATCACCAGATGAAAGACTCTGGAACATAAAAACGAGCTCATCAAGCGCCTCTCTTAACCTTAGTGCAATCTATATACTACTTGCATACTGTGACAGACAAGAGAGAGAGAGAGAGAGAGAGAGAGAGAGAGAGAGAGAGAGATAGCTAGCTAGCAAGCTCGAGAGCTCTTGTTCCAGCCTGCGTCAACGAAATGAAGAGCCTTCTGCTGCTGCTGCTTCTAGTGCTGCTGCTTCTCCACGAGTCTGAGTCTGCAAGTAAGTGTCAAAGAGGAAGAAACCGTCTCAAAGTTTTTGCTCACCCGCGTCTTGTTCTGTGTGATTCGTCCCAGCTGACAATCCCATCGGTGTCAACTATGGAACACGCGGGAACAACTTGCCTCCACCATCTCAAGTTGTGGAGCTCCTCAAAAACACCAACATTGGCAAGGTGAAGCTCTACGACGCGAATCCAGCCATCCTGCGGGCCTTCGCCGGAACCAGCTTTGACATCACTGTTGGCATCCCAAACGAGCAGATACCGTCGCTGGTTGATCAAGGAACAGCGCTGTCGTGGATGCGGCAGAACGTGGCGACGTACTTGCCGGATACCAGGATACGTGGGATTGCCGTCGGTAACGAGGTTCTCGCCGGAAAGAATTCCAACCAGCAGCTTGCGGCGCAGCTCGTTCCCGCCATGAACAGCCTCCAGTCGGCGCTCGTCACTCTCAAGCTCAACGATCTTATCAAGATCACAGCTCCCCAGTCCCTTGCAACTCTCAGCACTTCTTTTCCACCCTCGAGTGGGACGTTCCGGCCGGACCTCGCTCAGTCCGCGCTCGTTCCTCTCCTCACCTTCCTCCAGGCCACAAACTCCACCTTCATGGTGAATGCATATCCCTTCATGGCCTACCGCAGCAACCCCCGAGACGTCTCGCTTGCCTACTGCCTCTTCCTTCCAAATTCCGGTGTCACGGACCCGGGAACACAGTTCCTCTACAGCAACATGTTTGGAGCAATGCTGGACGCTGTCATCTCGGCCATGAAAAAGTTGCGCTTCCCGGACGTCCGCATTGGAGTGTCCGAGACGGGGTGGCCATCACTTGGAGACCCCAGTGAAGCCGAAGTGAGCTTGCGAAACGCCATGCTGTACAACAGGAACCTCGTGTTTTACATCAGCAGCAGTCCGGGAACTCCTCTCAGGCCCAAGCAGCAGATCGACACCTACATCTTCTCCCTTTACAACGAGAACTTGAAAGAAGGACCGGCGTCAGAGAGGAATTACGGACTGTTTCGGCCAGATGGTTCCACAGTCTATGACGTCGGAATTTTGAAGAGCGGCTCTGTCATCACTCCACCCAGTCCCTTTGTCTCTCCCAACCCCCCGACGCCAGTAACAATTCCCATCACACCGCCGCCGCCGCCATCTCGCCCTCCGTTTGCAACTCCACCATCACCTGTTACGACTCCAACTCCACCCTCTGTGGGAGCTCCCCCAGCTCCAGTAACTTATCCATCCCCAACTCCACCGTCTGTGGGAGCTCCGCCAGCTCCAGTAACTTATCCATCCCCAACTCCGCCGTCCGTGGGAGCTCCGCCAGCTCCAGTAACTTATCCATCCCCGATGACTCCGTCGTTTCCAAAACCTCCGCCATCTCCAGTCACCTTCCCAGCTCCAATGATCCCGCCCTCTCCAGTCATCGTCTATCCCGCTCCAATGACTCCGCCGACTCCACCATACTCTGGAACTCCATCGACGCCTTCGGGCGGGCACGGAGCGCCAGTGTGGTGCGTTGCAAAGCCAAACGCAGACGCCACCTCTCTTGCAGCTGCTCTTGGCTTTGCCTGCGGAGAAGGAGGGGCAGACTGCTTGGCCATCCAACCGGGAGGAGCCTGTTACTATCCCAACGATGTCACTTCGCACGCCTCATACGCCTTCAACAGTTACTACCAGAGGCACGGCCGAAACTACTGGAACTGTGACTTCAGGAACAATGCCGTTGTCGCCATCTCGGACCCCAGTAAGCAAGCTACCTCTATGAGTTTACTCTGTAATCAGCTAACCAAGCTTCCGCCCCGTCCTTGTCAAACTTCTTGTTGTCTCAGGTTACGGTGGCTGCAACTATCCAGCAAAGTAAGCAGTCGGATTTTGCGCATCTTCTCTCTGTACACTAGGGAGGTGGTTTCTCGTCATTTGTCGTTGATTCTTTAGCAAAGCACTGACGTTGTAGAAGAGTAAAGGAGTGCAGCTCTTTTCAGGAACATAATTTCATCCCAAGCGATTCCTGGACTTGGCTTGTTTTGTCAGTTATCAAATCTTCGATTCGACGGAATTTTCTCTCCATGCCATGGCTTCCACGCCAATCCACCCGAGATATTCCGAGTGTGGGTCTCTTAACTCGGATCTAAACCCATTCCTTTCTTGCAAACCGAATCTCCTCTGCAATGAGTGCCACCTCCACAATCTACCACCTTGCCATCATTGCCAGAGAATAAATAATTGCAGGCCAGGCAGCACAAGGACTCGCCCACTGATCTTGCAATGGGATGCATACTATCCAAACAGGCGGCACCTCAGAGCTCTCTGCCAGCTGAAAAAGCAGAAAGTCAGTACCGAGATGCGCAGGAAAAGATGGAAAATGCAAGCGCGGAGATAATCAATACCTGGGAGCTCATGGACGGTCTTGAGGGCGGGAGCGACTTGGAAGAAGTAGATCACATTCTCAAACCGATCGAGATCAGGAGGCTTTCCACCACCGAGAAAGTAAGCCATCCTTCTCCTCGTCTCACTTTCGTCTGCAGCAGCACACACTGCAGCTTCAAATCAGACCTGCAAATAATCGCAGTCCACATGCGATTTCAGACCACTGGAGAGTGGATCGAAGAAATGCAGAAAGGGGTGGACGTCAGCTTACCAGTAAGTGCCTAGTACGTAGCCATCTGCATGAACTTGTTTCACCTCGGCGATCGGATCAAGGAAAATCTTTTTTGCTGTTCTCGCGCAAAAACGTCGAGATTTGCCTCAAAAGCTGCTCCGTCTCACGAGTTGGCTCAACTCCAGCACTGAGCATTCGTCCAGGAAAGTTGTCAACACCAGCTCCGCCTTTCGCATATACCCTGACAAGGGAGTGGAAAACCGCGGCACTCAAGGGAAAGCCATCTTCCATCCACTTCTTGACAAGACGTTCACTGGCCTGCACGTCTCCTGTTCCAACGAAAAACTCCAGCATTACCGCTAGTGTTTCTGAAGAAGGACGCGGCCACTCCAGTTTCCCGAAAGCCGATCTTAGGCTCTCGAATGCAAGCGTAGCTCGGCTCACATCGCCAGCCTTCAGGTAGACCTTGATGAGAAGATGATAAGTGACCGTGCTCAGAAGACATCTGACACCCTTCATACGTTCCACTAAAGCAACGGCTCGAATCACATCACCCTGCTCCACGAGGACAGCGAGAAAGGCATTGTGTAGCCTCGGATTGCAGCTGTTGCATCCTACTCGCATATACATATCCTCGGCTTCGTCCATCTTTCCCACTCTACCAAACGCTTCAATGCCAAAGATGAAGTCCTCCACGGTAGTACTTGCAGAGCGCTCTATTGAATGCCAAATCCTGTCAACTGCATCCCTGTCTCCTAGTTTCCCAAACATGGCCAGCATCCTCCTTCGTATAGAATTCGAGTACTTGAATTCACCTGACTTGAGTGACTTTTCCAACCTCTGTAAGACCCGTTCCGACTTGTGGCGCAGTCCACTCCTGAGATAAATCCCAGCCACCGCCAAGCACCCCACTGCATCGAGTTTCAAACCTCTGCCTTCCATCTCGGCTAGAACGTCTTCCACAGCAACCATGTCACCTCCAAAGCTGTCACGAGCAGCCAGCAGAATCGTATAGAAAGAGCGATCGAGTGCCAACCCGGAGCCCTTGATCTCCGTCACCATACGCTCAAACCTCATTTCCATGCCCCGGAGCTTGTAAAACGAGAGCATGAGATGGTAAGGTTGCAAGCTTTTGATCCCAATGCCTCTCAGCTCTTGCATTGTCTTCTCCGCGTCCTCCAGCATGTCCCTCTTGTAGTACATTTCGAGAAGAATGCAGTAGGCGTCCTCACCCCTCCACTGCTTTGGAAGCCTCCGAAAGAGTAGAAGTGTCCTCGTTACGTGGTGACAACGCGAGCAAAGGTCGAGGCGCTGGAGAGTTTCGTGGTAGCCGAATGGGATCACTTTCTCGTTTGCAACCCAGTCCACAGCCTAGAAAACAACCTTACTTCTCTTCTCGAAAACAAGCGAAGTAAAGCTTACCATGAGAGCTTGAAGATAGCGCTTCCTGGAGCGAAGCCTCCGCACTACACGATCCAGGCCACAGCTGGTCACACTATTTCCTTCCCGGATCCATTGCTTGATTGCCGGCACCACTCTGTTTACCTGGTGCCTCTCGAGATCCATCAGCCTTTCCTCCAGCTGATAGCATTTGCCAGGCCCTGCCGCTTCTCCATTGCCGATCGCGTGCCCGATCATCGGCGGTGGCATTCTTGACAGCGCCATTGCAATCGCCATCTCGCATGAGCCCTACAATATCGACATAAACCCTGGGGAGGAGCACTTCTCTCTTTTTAGGGTTCTTCTTCGCTTCCAATGGCGCAGGCACTGGAGGCTGCCGTGAGCCGGCTGGAGGCTGCGGTGGGGCGCTTGGAGGCGCTAGAATCCCGCCTTGCTGCTGGAGGTGGCGGTGTCAAGTCCGAGCGATTCCCCGATGCAGCAAATCTGGAGCTGGAATCGGCGGGAGCACCCTCGGTGGCTGCATTTGAGGAGCTTGTATCGGCAAGCGTTGGCAGGGTGATGGCAGCTGCGGAGAAGATTGGAGGCCAGGTCTTGGAAGCTAGCAAGCTGATCAAGGAGGCATTTGAGGAAGAGAGGAAAATCGTGCGAGCGATCTCCCAATGCAAGGTATGCTGGGAAAAAAATTCCACTGACTTAGATCTAGATCTGAGTTAAAACCTTTACGTACTTTGGTAGGAACCGAGCATGGAGGAGCTCCAAAAGCTAGTTCATCCGTTAGCTTTGCTGTTGATGAAGGCGCATTCTCTAACGGAAGGAAGGAGGACGGATGCCTTCAACAATATCAAAGTTATAGCGGAAAGCTTGCAATCTCTCTCATGGGTCGTCTACACCAAACAATCGGGTAAAGTTCGTCACTCTCGAAATCGACTGGACTTCTTATCTGTGTTGTTATCTATCCAGGCATGCCCAAGCCCATAAGTCAAGTGGAGGAAAGCTGGCAGTCGGCCGAGTTCTACAACAATAAGGCATGTAAGGCCTGGTTGGAGTTTCTCCCCGTAACTTTGCGCATTTGCATTCATTACAGGTTCTCATTGAATTCCGAGCGAAGAATCCAGACCAAGCGGAGTGGGCTAAGGCCATAAAAGAGCTTTTCTTCCCCGGATTGAGAGATTACGTCAAGCAGTTTCATGCGACTGGGCCATCTTGGAATCCCAAAGGCGTTGAGGTGAAGCAGTATCTGGAAGGTCCAGCCCCTCCGAAAGTACCAAAAGCGCCCTCGCCGCCGGGTCCTCCACCGCCTCCAGGCCCTCCACCTCTCCCCACTGCAGCCGCTCCAGTGCCTGCAGCGGCTGGTGCCTCCAAACCGTCCATGAGCGCAGTATTTAAGGACATCAACAAGGGTGGATCAGTGACGTCAGGTAAGCTTTGCTTGGCTCCTTTGGTCTTATCTGGAAGCTCACGTGACTGGTGTGCCTGTGGTTTTCAGGATTAAGGAAAGTGACCGATGACATGAAGACGAAGAACAGAGCTGAGAGACCGGGCTTTGTCCAGGCATCTGAGAAAACGTCAAACGTTGCTGTCACTCAGCCGAAGGCGTCTACTCCCGTATTTGAACTGCAACTTGATCGAAAGTGAGCAGTGTCCTTTCCGTGATATTTGTGCTAACGAACGCAATATTTGTGCTGACAGATGGGTGGTAGAGAACCAGACGAACAACAAGGAGATTATAATAAGCGAGTGCAATCCAAGGCAGTCCGTGTACATATTTGGCTGCAAGGGCTCAGTCATTCAGATTCGAGGTAAAGTTTTACGAGAGAGATATTTGTGCTGGAATCCATTGCGCAGGGAAAGTCAATAACGTGACATTTGACAAGTGCTCTAAGACGGGCCTGGTGTTCAAGGTGAAAATGACGCGCCCTGTTTGATTCATTCCGAGCATGTGAAGTGTCTTTCCAGGACGTTGTTGCCGCTTGCGAGGTTGTGAACTGTACGAGCGTTGAGGTCCAATGCCAGGTGGGACTTAAGCTGTTGCCAGCCAGCCTTGGCCTCATCCAGTGCTTTGCAGGGAATGGCACCAACTATCGCAGTGGACAACACGAACGGATGTCAGCTCTACTTGAGTAGAGAGTCTCTAAAGGCGTCTATCACCACCGCCAAATCCAGCGAGATCAACGTCCTCGTACCTGGTTCTACTGCCGAGGACGACTATGTAAGACTGCGTGTTTTTGCTGGCACAGGCTAAATCGGTTTGCAATCTTTTCGTGTCAGGTGGAGCACGCTCTGCCAGAGCAATTTGTCAATGTGTATGAAGACGGTCGCTTTGTGACGACGCCAGTGGCTCACTCTGGAGGCTGACGGAGGCTGAAGTTCTCATCGCTCCTCGTGGATGGAAGCAGCCACGGAAGAATAAAGAATGAGATTGCAGCAGAAAACTGTGAGTGGATGAATTTGGATTGCGGTTAACTGTCCCTGCACTACATTCATAGGTATAATGAGATCCAGGCAAGGCTGCTGTTGCTCGTCACCTTTTCCTTTTTTTTCTTTTCTTTTCTTCTCTCTTTGCGTAGGCATCTTTGTTTGTCGCGTTGCCCTGGGGCCCCCACACAAGGACAATCTCTCAGGGCTGGCTGTAGAAAATGCTCTATCGGCTGTATTGCAGAAGCTGGCTGCGAAATACTAAAGCTTTGGTCTAAAGCTTCTTGCTACTTGCCTAGCCTGATATTTTTTATATGCCTGGTGTTTTTAAACCGAGTGGAGGAGGGAGGAGGAGCATTGAATCCTTCATACCAACTTCTTGTGCCTAAGATTACACGGGCCACAGAGCTTGTGCTGCCGCTCGCTGCTCGCATCCCAATCGCACAGCATCCAGCCAGTCTCCAGGTGTAGCTGTTGCGGTTGCAACAGAGTTATGGCTGTTCGAAGACGATAAAAGAGTGGTGCATGGAGGGAAGGGAGAAAAGATGAAAACGAGAGGAGGGGGAGGTCAGGTCTACTTGTTTGTGATCTCTTCGGATCGCCGGCAGTGCTGCGACGAGACGAGGACGTTTCTGTGCTCATCCTGGCAGTCG